ATGCCTCAGCACGCAGCCAGAAGGGCCAGCGCACTCAGCAGCAGCAGCAGCGGCACCCCACGCACCCACGCAGGGCTGTCGCTGGCGTCCGCCGCGTTGCGCATCAGCGCCCTCCCATTCTTGCCGGACCGAGCCGCGCCCTGGGAAAGCTGCTTCCAGTCCTGCTCTGCCAGAACCCTTTCAGAATCAACGGAATTCTCTGCGTCGTCCACGCCTTCTCTTGCATATTCAACAGCCTTCACTGCATCTCCTGCGTATTCATGAAGCACCGCAGCGGTTTTTTTCATATATGTCTTGTTCTCTTGTGCCTTATTGGCGAATTCCGCTGTGGTTTTAAGCTTCAGCGCAATATAGGCAGTGATGTCCGAGGTATCATCGCCGTTGAGCGGCACGCCTTCAGCATTGTCCTCAATCTTCACTTTGTCGAACGTCACCACCTGCTTGACGGCCTGTGTTGCCATGTAGGCCGCGGTAGCCGCCTCCCTCGCATTCTTCGCCGACTCCAATGCCTTTGTCGCGATCTCCTCCGCCTTCTCCGCCGCCACGTTGGCATCGTTAGCAGCGACAGTGGCCTTTGATGCCGCGGTGCTGATCTTCTTCACGTACTCCTTCGTGGACGATGACGACCAACTTGACAGTCGCCCTGCTTCGCCTGCTTTCGCTTGCGCCTCGACCACCGTCGTCCGTGCCTTCCGTGCCTTCTCCAGCGCCCGCTTGGACCGGTTCTCAACCGCCTCCGCATTCTTTTTGGCTTCCAAAGCCTTTGCTTCCAGCTCTTTCTGTTTATTTGCTATATCATCGCCGGCTCCATTTACGCGTTGACTCCCGTTCAGCGTCTCCGCAGTCCTTGCAATTTCTGTATTCAAGTCATTTGCTGCCGTCTGGAGTTCTGTTGCAACCTTTGCAGCGTTATCCGCTGCTGACGTGGCGGCCGCAGCTGCCTCTTGTGCATCCTTTGCAGCGTCCTTCGCCTCTGTCACTGCCTCCGTGGAACGATCCGCCGACTCCCTCACCAACTCTGCTGCCTTCCTGGCTGCTTCTTCGTCCTCCCTTTGTCTCGCCTCAGCCATGGCAATCGGGACCTCCCTGGCCTCCTGCGTCGCATTTCCAGCACCGTGCACCACAGCCGCCGCGTCAGCCACCACCAGTGTGGCGTTGCCCATCGCCAGTTGGGCCCACTCGCTTGCATTCTTCGCACTCGCCCTCGACTTCTCCGCGCTCAAGACCGCCCCAGCGGCAGCCGCGGCCGCATTGAAGGCCTCGCGAGAGGCGCTTCTGTCGTTGAATGCGT